CTTTAATTTGTTTATTTAGATAATTGTTCTCTCTCCACAAATTAGAACGCAATATGATTGTTTAATCAACTCAATGACATTAAGAAATATATGAAAATATTCGATTTTTGTATGGAAACATAAATATTGTATCAATACAATAAACAAATTCTAAAAAAAGGAGGATATTTATTATTCTGAACATCAATAGATTCATGTTAACATAACACGTGATAGACAAATATTAAAATAATTACTTACTTCATTTTGATCATTTACCTTTATCGAAACATGAAAGAAGAATATAATTTCTATTTTATATCTTTTGTATATGTAATTGAAGTATTTGAAGAATGCAAATTGTCGTTATGGAAAGACAGAGAGAGCAAGAGAAGTATTTGGTCCCCATCTGGATTATACATAGAATGTGGCATGTTTAGGTTTTTTTTTCTTCATTATTTTTTGACAATCAAATGGAAAGAAATCTTTTTAGATAAAAAAAAAGACATTTTTTTTTTCATTCTTTTAATGATAAATATTAAAGAGAATGAATAAAAAAGACATAGTTTCTCGCATATGTATATCAATAATTTTACGAAAAATTTCTCTACAATATACATAAAATGATATATTTTATTTTTTAAATATCTATCAAATTCGATTATTTGGAGGATTTTTCAATTGGTTTGATATTTAGATTTTCATATAATCAATTATTTTATTTATTCAGTTTATTAGAATCAAAAAAAAAATATCATCAAAACAATTGTTTAAAATATCCTGCATGAGAACCACGCTCGAATGTACTCAATCGAAAGTTCGAATTTGTATGAAAACTATCTGATCTTGTAGAGATTTCTTTAGGCATACAACTGCATTTTTAGATTTCAAGATTAATTTTTGACTGAGATCTGATTAATAGTGCCCAAAATTACTTTTTAGAAATTTTAAAAATTTTTCGTCAATCTTTTATTTGAGATGTTTTTACGATATCTCTTCACCAATACAAGATAAGATCCGAAATTTTCATTATATATATATTTTTTTCAGATAGATAATACAACCATTATATCCATTCATATCTATGGATCAATGAATTCTTTACTTGAACTTTAATCTACTAATGTATGAGCCTTAAGAATAGCCGATCTTGGTGATAGACTTTCTCATAATCGATGGGACAGAATTAACTGGATTTCTTTCCAAAGAGCATTGAGTTGGCACTACTCAATCATGTAATCAAAAGTTTTTTGAATCTTTTTAAACTTTGTCTAGAGAAATGTCATTATATCCATAAGTTGAATAACGGCAAACCATATGTCTCGATATTCAACTAAGCAGATATCTAATTTGTTGCTCATATAGTCCTAAACTTAGGGATATTGAGTACTTTTGGTATAACAGGATGGACATTCGTGTCATTAATCATAAGATCATAAATCTGAGAATTATGAGTGTATTTGATGTATTGAAATGGATATACTTTCGATATCTATTTATATAGAAATATTTCAAAGAATACTTAACAAAAAATTCAATTATTATGTTAGACAACACAATTGTTAATCACTATTAGATCATAGAGCAAAAAAATGTTTCTTTTTAATATTTACACTTTTCGTTCATTTACGAAATGTTTTTGAATTACTTTTAAAATGAAAAATAATCAATCAATAGCAAGTTCTGATCGTATTGTTCTATCTATAAAAGGAAATAAAGTTCATTCTTTAACAATAAAACAAGTTGTACCATCAGATGCTGGTTATTATACTGTCAAAGTAATCTTAGATAATGGAACAAGTGTATCCAATGCTCAAGCTATTGTTGAAATTGTATCAACATTTGTTAAACTTCTTCAAATAATAACTATTGTTGATGGACAAGATTATGAAATTGATATTGAAGTATATGGTTTACCACCACCGAATATTAAATGGTTATATTTAGTTGAAGATTTCACAACAAATTCAAAATTAGATCAAACGAAAATGGATAAACGAGCATTTGAAAAAAATGATGTATTTTAANTGAAGATTTCACAACAAATTCAAAATATTAGATAATATCAAATGGTAATCATCATCAATTACATATTTATCATGTAACAGCACAAGATGCTGATGAATATCAAGTTGTTTGTTTAAATAATCTTGGTCGTATAACAAGAAAAATCAATGTTCGAATATCTTCACCATCGGTGATAATTTAATCATTAAAAGATTTACTTGTATCAATCAAACGTACAGCTCGATTAGATACACAAATACATGCATTTTCTAAACCAAAAATTATTTGGTCAAAAGATGCAATACCAATTGATTTTAGTTTATATTCTAGAAGAATAAATGCTGAACAACGTCAAGGAACTTATGCATTAACGATCAAAAATTTACAATTAGATGATAAAGGATTTTATGTATGTACGTACATAGCTTCCATACACATCAGATCATCCACGTCATATTCATTCAAATACGATTCATACAGCCTTACTTCGTGCTATTTGTCGGTGTTCATCTATTGAAACATTCGATCAAGATTCAAAAACAATTACGCTTTATCTATTTACAACAATTTAGATGCAGAAACGTATCAAAAATTTCATGATAAATTACTTAAAGAATCCGATATTTGTATTGAATCATCGAACCAAATAGAACAACAACAACAAGAATGACAACGTTACAAAAAAAAACAAAAAGAACTCATTATCATTATCGATTTGAAAGTGGAATGATTAAAACATTAAGTCGTGAATTTAGAAAATTATGAGAGAAACACTGTTGCTATGAAACCTCATCATTAAACAATGTTCGCCTCGCATTAGAAACTCGAACCAACAAAACATTGGATCATTTATTAGTGCTGAAGAAACCCTCTCGTGACTTCCTTACCAAAAATGAATGGTACGATCGGATTGACAGCAGCACCTGAAAGATAATGCCATGATACTCTTAGTTTTTATTGTGAATTTTTCATTGTACATATTCCGATTGATAAAATGAAATCCTAAATCTGCATACCATACGATCTCATAATATATCCTTCTACTTGTAGATTTAAATGTTTTTTAACCTTTCAAATGTGCTAGATATGAAACGTTATGTAATAAATATAACGGCACGGTCAGCCATCGGTCCCCTTCGTTGGGGAAGGTTCTAAATCAGTAAGATTCAGAAAAAAAAATTTGTTATAGAGAGA